GGAGGGAGCCGCGGCCCGCGCTTCCAGCCTGCAGACCCGAGGTAGCCGCCCGGAGAGAGCTCAGCGCCCGGCCGCAGACGTTCACTCTTCCTGCGTCTTGCTGGGCCTCGCCGCGTCCCCGTCCACGTCCACTCTGTGCCCGCAGCGCCTTCTGGCCTTGGTCCCAGAGGCTAGCGACGCTGTGGGTGACCGCTGCCTCCCTTTCTCCTTCCGCGGTTATTTTTCTGTCTCCCTGTAGACTTGGGTACTTCTTGGTGTCAGTATCTGGGCACAGGAAGGACCATGGCGGGGATTCACCCCGACTGCACACGCGCACCCCTACCCCAGCACCCCAGCCGCTTCCCAACACCCCGGAAAACCTCCTGGGGCGACCTCCTGCAGCTTCAGCGGCTCTCGGCAGAGTTCTTCCCTCCGGATAGGCCCAGAGCTCACCTCTCTCAGCCTGGCTCCGGAATGGTGCTGGGCATCGAACTCGGGCCCTGGCACTTGCAAGACAGGCGGAGACACCACCGAGCCAAATCCCCGGCCCAAGGCACCTGAACATTTACTTAGGTTAACCCTCAACATTTGGAGCAACCAGAATTAAAACAACAATAACAGCAACAAAAAAACCTAATTCTCTCTCTTCTATTGAGTTATTGTACTTTCTTCTCTTATAGGATTCTTTATTCTATTAGGATCTTTAATTTCTAGATTCAGTCAAGATAATAACATTGAAAGCTTAAAATATACAGCTGTATCTTGAGATTTGCGTTTAATTCTCATTTTTCCTTTTACATTAAATGCATCCAAACATCGCCCATGTGGTTTTCCTGAGGTTGAATTTAACACTTTTACAATACAGTGTCCTCGTGCTCTTACTTTTCTTTTTAAATTTATAACTAGCACAGATAGGAGCTTTAAATAAATGGCTTCAGTTTAGTTCTGCTGTGGCCCCTGGACTTCATCCAACAGCCTGTAAGACCGGAGAAGGGACAGGGAAGAGCCAATGAGGCCAAGTGGGAGAAAACTAGTGAGTGGTAGAGGCTTTGTGACCTGGAGTGCGTTTGCTTTGCCAAAAAGCAGGTGAGCGTTCAGCAGTTTACCCGCGGAGGATGAGAGATTAGCTTGCAAAATGTTCCAGTTTTCCCAGAGAAGCTGGGATTTTTCCTATGCAATTTTCTGAGATATAAATGAAAATATCAAAGTTAAAACAAAAACAAAAACTGTTAAGAGCTGCCACCGTACGACTTGTGTTTTATGTTTTCTTTTGTAAGGTATAAATTTAGAGAGTTTGATATTTGTAAATTTTAATTTTTTTCTAGATCCATTCTCTCCATTTTCACTGAGCAGTGGAAGAAGACTGAACATCTGTTACACCAGAAACTTGATTCTTAGAGATGGCAAAAGCAGTAAGTAATGTGTCATTAAAAGAAAAATGTGAGTCATAGAAATAGACCACGTGGAAGGGAAACAGACTTCAGCTTGGTCCTGACCAGTCACTTACAGTTTTTGAAATGCCTAGCCTACGCAGTGGAAAGGAATATGCCAAAGTTAGAATAGATGGGCTCTGGGTAGTAAATTAATGATACTTATTTTTCTTTACACTTTTTCAGTGTTTCATAAACATTCTCCAAATATGTCATAAAACATAAATAGCAAAAAAAAGAAAGAAAGAAAGAAAGAAAGGTTAGCAAGGTTATTCTAGGAAAGTAGGATTTGAGGCAATCTTTTTTCCCCCTGGTTCTTTGTACTTTTGTTGTTGTTTTGAGACAGTCTCACTATGAAATTCAAGCCCACGCTGGCCTCAAGCTCACAAGTCTTCCTGCCTCAGCCTCCAAAATGCTGGGATTACAGGCGTGCGCCACCACACCTGGCCGTTACTTATAAATAAGTAAAACATATCCAAAGCTATGTCAGGGAGGGAGAATCACCCATTGCTCGGCCTGTTTTTCGGGTGGAAGCTCATCACTAAGGAGCTACAATTTATCATAGGCCTTGTCACATGTAAGTTTTTATCTTCACAACAACCTAATGAGGGGGCGTGACTGTTATGTCCACCTGTGGACGATGAAACAGACGCAGAAGGTGAGGCCAGTAAGGTGGCAGAACCTTCCCGACAGCCTTTTGGATGCTGGCTCAGGTGCTCTGCCTACCACTGTCCCAGTGGCGCATTCCCTGAGGAGGCTTCGGGGACACTGCTTAACTGTCACTGAGGTCGGGAGGCGGACGCCTGAGCCCAGCGTGGTCTTCAAATCCATGACCGGGGCAGCATTCCAGAAGGGCCCAAACCCTGGGATGCTGTGACTCTGTCCCTTCTGCTGCAGGGAAGCAGGGAAGGGTGTGAGAAGCCAGGTGGGCACCGTCAGGGCTGCGAGGTATGAGGTGGCCCTGAACTGTGATGGCGCCTGATGGCGCCATGATAAAAATGTGCCCACCGAGGTTCAGCTGAACTCTCTTGCCAGCAAATCATCATATCCGCTCCTGTGAAGAGAGTAGGATCTTTCCTGCAACTCTGCAGACACCTACTCAGTAACAAATTCTTCATTTAAAGAAAAGTGGAGTGGGCTGTGGTGGCGCACGCCTGTAAACCCAGCACTCAGGAGGCTGAGGCAGGAGGATCACCACAAGTTCAAAGCCAGCCTGAATTATGTAGTGAGACCCTGTCTCAAAAAGTGAAAAAGTATTTCTTGATTGGGCTCCAGCTCTTAGTTGTTTTGCCCTCCTGAGCCTAGATGGCCATTCCTTGGGTGAACGGGTTGTGTCTGCAGGCCTCCTTGAAGAGTTTGCACACATGCCTTACATGACGGCATCGCACAACAGCCAGCCTGCCGTCTGCTCCGGAGTCTGGGACTGTCTGACCCTAGACTCCTCTCTGCTAAATACTGGTATCCGAAACAGTGAAGTTTCTCTGGCCTCAGGCACCTAAATTAAAACAGAAAAATGAACTTGTGATGGAAGTCACAGAAGCCAACTGTGTTCTTTGGTATAGATCTCCAGTTAAAGTACTGAGTAGTGTTTTTGGGGAAAAAAAAGGTTTAGTTTAAAGATAAATACATAATCGGAAAGCCGACATAATTACTGTTCGCTACACACTTCTGGCAGTGTTGTACAAAAGTAACCTGGGTCTGAATGGAAGAGCTTTTAGAAATGCTATGGTGAGTTTCTGAAAACTGCTCAGCAGCAGTGACCACGGCTGAATAAAGAGGGCGCCAGACAGGAAGCCCAGGGAGACTGAGCTACGAGTGTGGAAAGTAGAACCAACTTTTCGTAATCTCTGTGAAAAGGACCAAGTATTTTAAATACAGTACTGAAGTCAAGACTCGAACATTTTTCTGACTGCTATTACTGGCCTTGTTTTATAGGACCTTGTCCCATCCTCAAGAAGAAAAATATTGCCTGTTACGATGGCACACGTCTCTAGTCCTAGCACTCAGAAGGCTGAGGCAGGAGGGTCACCATCAGTTTGAGGCCAGCCTGGGCTACATAGTGAGTTCAAGGCCAGCCTGAAATACACAGCGAGACCCTGTCTCAACACCCCCCTAAAAAAATACTGATTTTTTGTTATCAAATATGGTTTTTGAGTATTTGCTTTATGTCAGACACTATGTTAAACAATTTCCAAGAATCATTTCATTTGCACTTACAGAAGAGGCCGATGAGCTCAGTGTGACTGTTGTCAGTGTTCTGAATGACTAATCTCTCTAAATCAAGGCCGAAGATTTTGGTAGTTTTCCAAAAGTGGAAAGTAATTGGTGGAGCAAGGACTTGAAGCCACACTATGGGAATACGTGCATGCCTACCCCTGCTGCCTGCTAACCTGCCAGGCCTTACTCAGCACCTAAGAGAGGTTTTAGGTTCCCCGGTGGGTGGGAAGAGAGCTCTGGGGAAGGGAGAAACAAGTTCAGTTGCATCATAACACTAGAAAAGAGTTTGTAGGCTTTTCTGGTTCTGTTTCCAGGTACTGGGGGTTGAACCCAGGGCCTTCACACTGAGCTACAGCCCCAGGATTTTATTTTCTGAGACAAGGCCTTGCTCATTTGCCCAGGCTGGGCAAGAACTTGTAGTCCTCCTGCCTCAGCCTCCCAGAGTGGTGGAATTACATACAGCTCTGTGTCACCATGCACAGCTAAGAGTTTGCTAGGCAATGACTCTAATTGGCATTTGTATCAGTTAAATACTTTGCCTGTTTTTATAAATTGAAAGAAAATGAATGTGGTGTAATTGGAGGCATTTTCTTTAAAGTTAAAGCAAATTGACAAGATGTGGGTGGAGAATTTCGATGCACCCTGCAGAAAGTGTTTGAAAGGAAAAACAAAACAAAACATGCTGAGCAATGTGGAGAAAAGAGGAGAGAGAAGGTCTTTGTCCCTATTTATTCTATGCTTGAATTTACCATTTAGAGATATATGTGTTGGGGCCGGGGATTTAGCTCAGTGGTTCTGCTGCCTGCCTCGCAGGTGCAAGGGCCCGAGTTCGATCTCCGGTACCAAAAAAAAAAAAAAAAAAAAAAAAAAAAAAATA